GTACCCAACTCTCTGTATATGTATCATTTAACTTATTGTTATCAACTACTTTGTCCAATATTACTCTCTACATTGCACACGTAATATCGGCTGATTTACCTATATTTTACCATGCGCGGTATATTATTTGATATACGCTGCCTTTCTTTCCTTCTTGTTATTTACTATATGGCATATCCGTTGCTTTTACAAAGTTATCCGATATCAAAATTTTTTCAATTAAATAATTGTTTCATAAAATCAAATAATGCTGAATATATTAAATAAATTCCAGTGCCTTAGGCTTGTAAAATGACATTCATAAAAAGGAAATACATTATCAAGATGTTTATAATCTCATGAAATTAAGTGGAGAAAAATTATAGTTATGTTTAAAAAGATGAACTTACCGCATTCATTCCTTGCCCATAAAAGGGCACCATCGCGTGAGCGGCGTCTCCCATGATGACCGTTTTGTCACCGACATGATAAGGATTACACTGTGATTAAAGAAAGATGTTCCGTGAATTAAGAATTCCTAATCCCAGGAGTATAATATGAACTTCCTAAAGGCAAAATATGAAAGGGTATACACACACAAACAAATGAACGAAACGACATATTCTATACCTGGTGTTACCATATGTAGAATTTATTCCATGATCTGTTAATACTGGAAGTTGCTTTCAGTAAAACCAGCTTTCTTAAGTGTTATAATAAAGACCACTCACGTTTATTTTGCAATGATGTATATTTATATAACAATGTCGAATTCTGTGCTGCGTCAAAATCCATAAAAGAATTTGTAGACTTTATTTTAGAGAAAAACAACTTTCAGTAACGTTCTTACTGATACTAAGGTTTAATTAAATACAACAAGAATACCTAATCATTCATCTAACCTTGACAGGTGCAGAAATCCATTGAGCACATATTTTTTAACTGGATGGCATAAAAATGTTTTTACATATTGAGAACTTATCTTATGTAAATGTTTAATTTCAAACTTCTCCAAGAAACTGATATTATCATTATTTAAAAAAGGTTATATTTAAATAATAAGAAATAACTGAATGCGGCTTTTTTTTTCTCACTTCAAAGAGCAGTACAGCTAAACGACTTTTACTACTTACACGTACCTTGACAGATATTAACGGTGATGGTTTCAGTCGGAAATAGTCCTCTATAAGATTTTTTCTGGAAAAATCAAACTTTATTATCGCATTGTAATTCTAAACTCATTCAAAACAAACCTTAGTATTCTGTCTAATTCTGTTTAATAATATTTTTCTTTCCAACAGATTGATAGATGTTTTGCAAAACGTTCTTCACAATGAATAAAAAAGTGAAAAAAACTTGGAATTGGCATTTCTTACTTTCCAATAAGTGGAATGGCATCCGGAAAGTTTTCAAAAAAGAAATCCAAAAGCTTTTCTGGAGTTATAAGATCTTCAAAGTTTTCATAGGGCATAAATAAGGTAACTGTATAAGTCTTGTCTTGGTTGGGCAATGCTATCATCATGAATGAATCTCTAGGCCATATGTGGAGATAATTTACTTCCATGGCAAACTGTAAAAATAAGTTGGATCCATTTATGTTTTGAGTTTTTTAAAGAATTGCATTACTTTCATATGTATGTTAAGCAATAAGCGTCTAGTAACTAATTTCACTGAAAAACAGAGTATAATGAAAGGTGTTACCCTAACAAATAAATAAATCATTTTCTCTACTTGATGCTTCTATCTAAACTATTATTTTGCTTTCATCTTTCTGGTCCAATGGTAAACACAAATTACAAATATTTCCCTAGTTTGTGTCTCCATATAAGTTTGTCTGGTGACTGACTAAACAAAATAATAAATGTGTATTATATGGTGACTGATTAAACAAATCAATACATGTGTATTATATGGTGACTAACTAAACAAATTAATAAATGTGTATTATATGGTGACTGGCCAGACAAATCAATAAATGTGTATTATATGGTGACTGGCCAGACAAATCAATAAATGTGTATTATATGGTGACTGGCCAGACAAATCAATAAATGTGTATTATATG